CACACAGTATATTAATCTTCGGTAGATTTTCGGTCAGTTCCGTGAGATGTACGCTGTACGATGGAATTTAATTTAATTTTTATCTATAAACTAAGTGCACTCAGCGTTATAGCGCAATAGGGTAAAGCACGAGTTTATAATCTAACTCGTGTTTTAAGTTCGAGACCGCGTCGGTCCATGTTTTTTTCTTCTTATTAATACTTTCAACATTATTGAAGTTATATATGATTATTTTATATTGTTTGATTTGTTTTATTATGTTTTACTTAATTTTGTTATGTCTATACTCATTTAAATAACATGTTTAAGAATTCATTTTAAAAAATAAAACGGTTTAAAATCAATAAATGTATTTTCAATGTCGTAAAACACACTACAAATATGTTCCTTTAAAATATACTGCAAAAATAAAGAAAGAGTATTAGTGGCAACAGTAAGGATCGAACCACATACCTCTCAATTATCAGCGTTCTCTTTACCGACTGTGCTATCGTGAATTAACGAAAACCTTCACATTAAGCTGATGTGACTTTCAATCCATGACTTATATACTCCACATTAATTCTCGTAAACTACACAGACCAAACCAAAGTGGAATCGAATATTTAAATGAGTCCTGTTATGTATTCATAATTGACAGGTCAATAAAATCAGACTATACACGAATTACTCCAAATACGCAAACACTGCTCGATCCAATTACCATAAAAAATAATATCCATGCTTTTGACTCTGGCGTTTTCGAAACTGTTAGCAAAATTAGCGACCATTTAGAAACATGTATTTATTTATCGGTAGAGTTTGATTCAAACAAACCTTTTAAAAGAAAAATTTGGAATTATAAAAAAGCTGACTTTGTAAAATTAAATTCATTGATAAGAAGTACAGACTAGTCCTTTATTCAAAGCAGTAAGCGTGCAGTTTATTTACGGGCAAATTCTTATATCTAGCGAAACAATGCATTCCATCATATTATGCACTATGATAAACCTTGGTTTAACAGTAGTATACGAAAAAGTTTAAGACAAAGAGAAAGGCTCTTTCAAAAGCATTAAATAGTAATAAAGCTTCTGATTGGGTAAAATATAAGGACTCTCGAAATCAAATAAAAAAAATGCTAAAGAGATATTTCATAATAATTTAGAATTTTCATTGCATTATATGAGCAGTTCTTATCCTCGTGAATACTGCAAAATAGTTAAAATGCTAGTAAAAGATAATACGAATGAAAATGTCTCCTCTTAAAAATTGTAACAACACTTTCTCCTTATCTGATATAGATAAGGCAAATACTTTAAACGAGTTTTTTAGTTCAATATCATGTGTTGATGATACATATATAAAACTTCCACTATTTACTTTTAAAACTAATTCACGTCTTGAAGATTTTATAATTAATAAACAAGAAATTAAGGATACTTTATTGAATCTTTTCACCAATCAAGCTTCCGGTCCAGATGAAATTAGCCATAAATTGTTAAAGGAAACATCGGAATCTTTGCGGGCTCAACTTTGTTTACTTTTTAATCTCTCATTAAATGGAGGAATATATCCCGATTTCTTTGATAAACTGTGTTGGAGAAGTGATGGAACGTATTATATTTAAACATATGTATAACTATTTTCATAATAATTCATTACTATTTCAAACTCAATCTGGTTTTTTGCCAGGTCACACAACTGTTCATCAGCTTATTGATATTTATAATCAAATTTGCAAAGCTTTTGACAACAAAAAAATAACATGTAATATATTTAGCGATATTTCAAAAGCGTTTGATCGAGTTTGGCATAAAGGTCTTATCTTCAATTTAAAACAGTATGGAATTCTATGAAACTTTATTTCATGGTTAAACAACTATCTTTATAATAGGTCTCAGAAAGTGTTTGTGTCTTCCTCTTTCTCTAATACTACATTACTTGGAGGAGTCCCCAAGGGATCCGTCCTTGGTCCTTTTTTATTTTTAATCTATGTTAATGGCATTGCCGAATCCCTTCTAAGTGTAACTAAACTTTTTGCCGACGACAGTTCGTTGGCAGTCTCATCTAAAGATGTCTCGTATATGGAAGAAATTCTAAATAAAGACATTATCACAATTACATCATGGTCTAAACAGTGGCTTGTTAATTTTAATCCAGCAGAGGTCATGTTCTTTTCATTTTGTAATCGAAATAAACCGAATCGTTTTTTCAGCTTAAGTATGTAGACCACCATAATCATTTAGGGGTAACATTCAGTCAAGGTGGGTCATGGCCAGAACATATATCTATTATAGTAGTAGAAGATTTACCTTATTTTGTTTATACATGTACTATATTTATTTTCATATTGAGTTCATTAAAATACTGCTGTAAATCAAGGTTTGGTGCGTTTATTCTAGTGGCAAATTAATAATGGCATATATTTTTTTTCCATTTGATATCATTAAGTCATTTTTGATTTTCTTTGTTTTTTTCCAGCTTAAGCGATTTCTTTATTACCAGTTAAAATACATGAAACTAATATCGCTTATCATATAAATATCTCAGAATTTCTAAAAACCACAGTTACTAACTATGTTACCATTAAGCCAACAAGATAGACCTTTAGGGGAGGACCCTAGACAATGTTGGTATAACTTTTGGTCCAACCTTTTTGTATGTCCATTATATTTATGTTTAAGATAATGATGTTAGATTGTGTAAATTTATCATGCACAAAATTTATATTAAACTAAACCGAGATAAAATGTATGCCTTTTACTCAACGTTAAATCAGCAAATTAGTGTATACAGTTTCAACGATAGAAATGTGTGACGTCACTGTTTTTAAATACAAATTATACTTAAAATATGATCTGTAAACACTAATGTCCGTGACAAGAAATTTCATAATTAATTAAATACACATGTATTTCTTAGTTCAGAAGAGTCCTTCAGAGTATTAACAAAATGGTGGTATTGACGGTATTTGTTTCTAAAGAGCATTCGTCGCGAAAGTAAGAGAATGTACATGGTCGGATATCTTGGTATGTGAGTGAGTGAGTGAATGAGTGAGTGAGTGAGTGAATGATTGAGTGAATAAATGAGTGAGTGATTGTATGAATTGGTAAGTGAGTGAATGAGTGAGTGAATTGGTAAGTGAGTTAGTGAGCGAATGAATGAGTGAATGAATTGGTGAGTGAGTGAGTGAATTGGTAAGTGAGTGAGTGATTGAATGAATTGGTGAGTGAGTGAGTGAATTGTTAAGTGAGTGAGTGAATGAATGAGTGAATGAATTAGTGAGTGAGTGAATTGGTAAGTGAGTGAGTGGGTGAATGAGTAAATGAATTGGTGAGTGAGTGAATGAATGAATTGGTGAGTGAATGAGTATGTGAATTAATGAGTGAGTAAATAAATGTGTGAGACATTGAGTGAGTGTGTGAATTGGTAAGTGCGTGAGTGAATGAATGAGTGAATGAATTGGTGAGTGAATGAGTAAGTGAATTGGTGAGTGAGTGAATGAATGAGTGAATGAATTGGTGAGTGAGTGAATTGGTAAGTGAGTGAATGAATGAATGTGTGAGTGAGTGAATGATTGAGTGAATGAGCGAGTGAGTGAATGAATTGATGAGTGAGTGAATGAGCGACTGAGTGAGTAAGTGATTGAGTGAGTGAATGAGTGAATTGGTAAGTGAGTGAATGAATTGGTGAATGAGTGAGTGAATGAATTGGTGAGTGAGTGAGTGAGTGAAATGTTATAATGACGGCGTTTATGTCTTAATTGAGCTTATACACGAAAAACGTTTTTGGTTTTGTTGTTAATATAGTTCAAAATCTAGAGAATATGCCAATTTGAACGTTAAATCTAAATTCAACCATTGCCCTTGTCGATGAAAATATATTGCTGGGACTCATTAATAAATAATTATTGCCTCAAAGGTCAAGCTGCACATTTTTTATTTTCAAAGTCTAACAATTCGAGAAGTTTATCGGTATTGTTGAAATTTCAGTCAGGGTTGAATTTTGGTTTCATGTGACGTCCAGTAAAAGTATTTACATGTCTACGACGGATTTACATTAACGCCCAAAACAAAACCATCCGAATTCCTCAGCATAATTTACATAAATTTGCTTCTAAAAATTTATATATGTATGTTTGATCTTATGGTTAGGCTTTCTTTCAAAATGCCAGAAGAAATTAATACACGTAGTGATGATGATAATGATGATGATGATGACGACGACGAAGATAATAATAATAATAATAAATGATAATAAAAATGACGATCATGATGAATAAGAAGAAGATGAAAAAATAACTCGACATGATGATGCAATGATACGGGTGAGATTTCTCAACTGTTTCGTCGTCTCAATGAAAACGTATGTGTACAAGATATCATTCACATTGAGCTGTTCACAAATTAATCTAGTCAGAGATACTAAAGGGTTTGAATGTTACATTAAAGATGATCATTGTGTTAAAATGGCCTGCCTAATGGTTAGAAAAAAACAACATTTTTTCGAAATAGTTCCTTGTTGCAATTATACATTTGTTAGAAAATGAAGTGAAAAATGAAATAATAATATTATAATAATAAATATTGCTAAGAGATAAGATTTTTTTTCTAATAAATAATAAATGAACACATGAAAAATATATGGATGTGTGATGGAACTTGTTCTTCATCTTATGTTGTATATCTTAGAAATAAATACTAAGTTAAAGAAAACATTAGATGTTTAAAACGGAATATTATTTCTGTTTTAATGGACAAGTCTTTTCCGGGATTATTCACAAAAGGCATCAACATTTCCCTCCGCAATTTTACAAGCATTTCTTCAGATATTCAACCGAAAGTACAAAGACAAGATAATTATCAATTAATTCGTCACTCTCGGATAATATACAGGAATGGCATTGATTGATTTCTTAAATTGTGTTAACATAGTCACAAACAGTCCAACAGATATTTGATTTTTGATTTGATTTAAATATATTCTATTGCCAAAAATAAAACATAAACATACATGTAGATAGTTACAATACAATGACATGACATATTTGGCAAAAGGGTTGACCCACAAGTTCTCTCAACATTAGCAACGGGTCTTCCCTGAAAGATTATTGAATATATATAAGACTATGGAAAGCCATGGCTGTCTGATATTGTCCTTTATCAATTTATGTAACCATTTGGATAATATATAAGTTCACTTCGACTATACATGAATTGAAACACCTTCTTATTTAACCGGAATCCATTATATTTATCCACAGTTACAATATATGAAACCATACCGTCAGTGTATGAAACCTCGTTAGCAATACATTTGTATATTATAACATTTTGTATATGATTCCAATTCTTCAATATAGGGTACCAAAGTAGCCATGTATAATTTCAATATATAAGTTGATTATCACATTATATGAAACCATATCTTCAGTGTATGAAACCGAGTTAGCAATATATAAGTTGATTTTCTTAATATATGATACCAATTATTCAATATATGGAACCAAAGTAGCAATGCATGGAACCAGGTGTCCTTACATGAAAGCGAATTCGGAAATTGAAAACAGGGTACTAATGAAGACAATGCTTTCAAAATCATAAAGAGAAACAAAAGCTTATGAAAATTGTCCCTAAAGATATATTTGGCCGGTAGTCCTTCTGTTGAATTTTGGATTTTTAAATTTGGAGTGTATATAATATTTATCATTATAGATGCAGATTGCCCACATTTTAATGAATTCGTGATACCGTCGACAGATTAAAATCCAGTTATTAAACTTTACTGAATATATCATCCTGAAATATATGCTTGTTTTCATAATGGGTGCAGTTGTTTACCCAGATATATTTCTACAAGTTTGAACAGTTATGGGTCAAGTTTATCCAGATATATTTCTATGGAACTACTATAGATGCCAATTACCTAGATATGTTTAAAAAATACCAAACTGGCTCTCCGATTTGTCTTTGATTGGTTCCCTTCCTTCGTTTTCAAGAAGAAATTTAATAACTCAAAAAATGCGATAATATTCTTCCTGTCGAGAAATAAACAAAGACGGTTATGAAAAAATCTCTCTTTTGTCTGTTTCTTTGTATAAACAATAATATAAATATAATCATGTTCATGTATAATAATGATTGAATAGTAAAAACAATCCTAAATTACCTGTCTACTTTATTGACGGTCATTTTGTTTTCTTATCTCAATGAGACATTAACAGCTTGACCTTTGAAAAAAGTAGATTCACATTTGTTATTTTTTGTTATTTTTGAAAATTTGATATTATTTCAAATTAAAACATGAATTTTTTTAAACTTCAAGAATGTGTTATTACAATTTTTCAAGACATCAAAAGTCATTGGTTTTCATAAACTAGATACCTTTACATCTTTACATTAGCACGAGTCACTTGCATTTTCATCACTCATTAAGAAGTCAAACTTTGCTTTCGTAAGTTTATTTGTCTTTTCCTCCCTGGCTTCTACAACCACTTCCGTCCCGCCAAATATAATTTGAACAAACACACCGCGATCTTTCCCGCCAGAAAGATCCGGAACGTCCACTTCCAGTTGGCCGACATACGTACATCCGACATCCGTCACATAAAGTGGTTCTTCGTCAGTCGATGTATACACATCAAAAACTAAAGATATCTGGTCCGCTTCAAGGGGCGTGTAACGTTGTTTGGATTGCGCCTCCCCCACAACGAGCTCCTGACCCTTTTTAACATGGACATCAAACACATCCTTACATTTTATTTTTCCATCAATCGTTACTTTCTTGTTCGCCGGATGGACGCCATTTTGGAAATCTCGATAGACAAGGATACCATACGAGCACCTTGCAATGCGCGAGACAATTGTCACAGGATTATGTCCAAATATTACAGCCCCTTTCAAGACTGCTAAACCAGCTTCTTCTGGTATAATAAGTCTCTTGTCAGGAAAATTGGTTCGGATAGCGTCTTGAAGTAACGGCGATTCTGAAAACCCTCCAACTAAAAGAATCGAACTCGTGTTTTTGCTGGCTTTCTGTTTAAAAATCTCTTTTACATGCTTTACTATGTTGTTGCAAGATTCATCGAACCATGACCTAAATATTCCTGTTTCGACTCTCACTGTGTTGCCAACCAACGTTACCTTGTCGTCATACTTTTTCTTTGTTTTGATATAGTCTTTAAGATTTTTGCCTGTTACATCTTTGAAAATTTCAGCAAGACTAGGTGGGACTTTAATTGTCTCTTTTGACCTTTCATCACCAACTCCCTTTCCTTTTATCCCTCTCTTCTTAGTCTCAAACGCTCGAAATAGTTCAACCCAATCTTCTTTGGCCTCCTGCATGAACTTGTCGAAAACGGATTTGTCCTTCTGTGTATCGGTATCTATAATAAACAAGAGGGCCATGATGGCCCTGAGGTCGCTCACCTGTATATAGGCCCCCCAAACCCCCACACCCCCCCTCCCCAACGTTGCAGGACCAATTTAACCCAAGGGCTTTTATTTGCACAAACTTGGTAGACACCCATAAGAAGATGTTTCATGCTAAACATCTAAGCTCTAGCTCATTGGGCTTTTTAAAAGAAGTTTTTTTTAAAGTTTTTACTATACACATATAGTTAAAAACAATGACACCCCTTGGTCCGGGCCAGTTTTGACCCCAGGGCTTTTATTTGAACAAACTTTGTAGACACTTACTAGAAGATGTTTCATGCTTAATATCTAAACTCTAGCTATTTGGGTTTTTTCAAAGAAGATTTAAAGTTTTTGCTAAACACATATAAAGAAAATCAATGACCCCCGGGGCGGGGCCAATTTTGACCCCAGGTCTTTTATTTGAACAAACTTTGTAGACACTCACTAAAAGATGTTTCATGCTTAATATCTTAACTCTCGCTATTTGGGTTTTTTCAAAGAAGATTTTTAAGTTTTTGCTATACACATTTAAGGAAAATCAATGACCCCCGGGGCAGTGCCAATTTTGACCCCAGGGCTTTTATTTGAACAAACTTGGTAGACACCTATTAGAACATGTTTGATGCTCAATATCTTAGCCATAGCTCTTTGAGTTCTTTAAAAGAAGATTTTTTTAGGTTTTTACTACAGTAGAACTTCGGTAAGTCGAAGTTGGAGGGACTTGCGTAAAAACTTCGACACATCGGGACTTCGACTCATGAATCGTTCTGAATTCCATGACAAAATTTCAATCTGTGACTAGCCCTAATTATAAGATATATAACGTAACCTATTTCATGTTTTCTTTCATTTATTAATCTGATATTTTACTTTATGCAATGATAAATATGACATGTTAATTACTTTTTCACGGCTTATGATTTGAACTACCTGTTGACGTATACAATGAAGTTACAAAAGGCGTAACAATTCGAAAGGGCAATAACTTAACCAGCTTATAGTAAATATTAAAGCGTGTGATTAACACGCGACACCGGGTCACAAAGTATGTTTGTTCTTACTGTTTACATGTACTTTCAAATACCGCTACGGCAATTAAATTAGTAACTATTAAAGCATTTTTTCACACATTTAAATGCATTCAAAGGTTGTTTGAACACTTGGCTGTGTAATTAACACGTGTCACTTAAGTTGATCGGAAATCGTCTTCGCGGCAAGAAAAGGTGTGAAAAATGTCTCGAGATAGAAGGTATCAAAATAATCGAAGGACTTCGACTTATTTGTGGTAAATTGTACTAGATTTATTCTATACGGACCATGAAAAAACTTCGACACATCGAAAAATTCGACACATAAAATCTCGACTCATAAATAGGTTTTTATATGGAATATATAAGAGAAAAAATCGGGACTTTCATTTTACTTCGACACATCGAGAAAATCGACTAATCGAAGTTCGACTCATAGAAGTTCTACTGTATATGCATATAGGGAAAATCAATGACCCCCCGGGGCGGGGCCAAGTTTTACCCCAGGACTTTTATTTGAACAAACTTGGCAGACACCCATTAGAAGATGTTTCATGCTAAATATCTTAGCTCTAGCTCTTTCGGTTCTTTAAAAGAAGATTTTTTAAGTTTATACTATATGCATAGGGAAATCAATGACCCCCTGGGGCGGGGCCAATTTTGACCCCAGGGCTTTTATTTGAACAAACTTGGTAAACACTCACTAGAAGATGTTTCATGCCAAATATCTAAGCTCTAGCTCTTTGGGTTTTTTCAAAGAAGATTTTTTAAGTTTTTGCTATACACATATAAGGAAAATCAATGATCCACGGGGCGGGCCAATTTTGACCCAGGGCTTTTATTTGAACAAACTTGGTAGACACCTATTAGAACATGTTTCATGCTAAATATCTTAGCTCTAGCTCTTTGGGTTCTTTAAAAGAAGAATTTTTTAAGTTTTTACTATATGCATATAGGGAAAATCAATGACCCCCGGGGCGGGGCCAATTTTGACCCCAGGGCTTTTATTTGAACAAACTTGGTACACACTCACTAGAAGATGTTTCATGCCAAATATCTAAGCTCTAGCTCTTATGGTTTTTTAAAAGAAGATATTTTAAGTTTTTTCTTTCGGTTGCCATGGCAACCAGAGTTCTGCATGGAATTAAATTCTTTGAACAATTTTTAAAGGTGACCACCAAAGGAACATTCCTGTGAAGTTTGGATGAAATTGGCTTAGTGGTTTATGAGGAGATGTCATTTAAAGTAAAAGTTTATGGACGGACGGACGCCGGACGGACGACGGACGGACGCCGGACGAAAAGCGATCACAAAAGCTCACCCTGTCACTTTGTGACAGGTGAGCTAAAAAAGGCTTTCTTCATCAACACTTTTAACATACAAAAATTATAACTGTTTGTGACTTATATTGTATATATATATATATATATATATGTATATATTAAATATAATGTTGCTTATATCATATGGTCTGAAACTATTATTTCAATCAATACAATGTACTGCGTATGAATTCGGAAACATTCCCATCTCTTTCCTTCAATGAATCTATTTTGAATGCATTAAAATTGAAACTTGTTCTTACACAAAGCTGAACAGATATATCCCCATCTTGTTTAGTTGAGATAGAATGTTTTTAATGTTTTCCCCTTGCCATTGAATTAAATTTGTTATTTTCCATACAGATCTTCACAAGAAGTGAAAAAATAAGGAAGCAACAGACGTATTATTTTGAAATAACATTAGTAAACAAAAAATTTGGGAACAGACACAGATAAAAGAATGAAATAGGTTAAAAGTAAAAACACAATAAAAATACATGAAGCAATACATTCAGCCCTTTAAATGCACCAATGTTTAATTTTTAACATAACACTTAACATCTTCACAAAAAAAAATCAAACAAAATTAATAAAATTTTATACCAACAATGCTCCGCAAAAATTTCTCAAACGCCGCATCAACACCCGCTCCACTACACGTGCCAACGCTTGCATAATTTAGTTCTTTCAGTTTACTATCTTCTACAACTTCGTGGATGATTATATCAACAGTTCTACCTGAAATAACAAATTAAGAATGGTTAGAAAATGTTGATTACGTTGACTACTGGGATCCTTCATATTCACCGGACAATCATTTTACCGGACAAAATCTATTCCTGTCAAATAAGGCTGCATTTTTTGCTTCGATTCAAAAATCATCCGGTCTGAATCGTACACACACTTTCTATTTATAAGTAAATAACAACAAAACCACTCTCAGGTAAATATTGTTGATTCAGTTTTTTATTTACTAACATACCCTTTTGTTTACTAGTTATTTCATGACCTAGCCATGCGGGGGAATAATCTGTTTCTGCGCATCCCCGAATATTGAGGCCCTAAATGGGCTATTTTAGATAGGTTTTACTTTTAATTCTTCTTAATGTTATCCCAGGAGACAATCTTAACATACTTTAATGATAAAAGTAATTTTGAATTAAGTTCAAACAATCTTTCGTTGTTGTCTTTTACAAAGAAATTAAAATCAGGTTACGGCCATGGGAGGAAACTCTACATGGAATGTAAATAAAATAGATTTTATGGCTTTTGCAACATGCTGCAAGATGACCAAAAGTAAACTGTATGACAAAGAACAGAATTCCATTTGAATATTAAAATGTTTCATACATTTAAGGATCATGAAGAATCAATACGTTAACTAAGTTAATAGTGTTACTAGTGTTAATTTCAATTACACCTTATATATTTGCCTCTTTGTAACAGGCATGACTGTCGTGTCTATTTCTAGTGACAGACTGGGTCTTTCCAATATCTAAACCTTGCAATTCAAAAGTCTTAGTGTCCTTGCTGATGTTTTAAAGTTAAATTTCAGTTCACGACTTCGAAAAATTTTGAAACACAATGTCCGGTAAATTGTGTTGTGTTTTCTCTGTAATGCCCTACTGTAAAGACACATTTATACGGTCAAATGTTTAATTTCATGTTTGATAAAGTAATATCTACATATAATAAGAACCCAAAATTATTTGGGTAAAATTCCATTCTTTTTATTATTTTAATTAAAAGTTACAGCGAAAAAACATCATATTTTGTCCGTTATATGTAGGATTCCAGTACAGTATTTATAAACAAGAACTGTCGGAGGACAGTAACGCTCGACTATTCGAAAATTTGTCACAAGGGTGTTTCATGAGTATAATAATGCTTACCTATATGAATACATAAAATTGTCCGAAAAGGTCCAAACCCTTCAAGTTTCAATACATTCCCTTCAGTAGTTATGGAGATACAAGCTTACACACAAAAACTTAACAAAGAATTTATGAATCAAAAAAGGGGCATAATTATGCAAAAAAGTAAATCAGAGTTATGGGACTTGTGTCAATCATCTTAGATAATCACAGAGACAAAGTGTGTGGAGTTTCAATCCATTCCCTTCAGTAGTTATGGAGATACCAGCTTACACGCAAAAACTTAACCAAGAATTTTTAAGTCGAAAAAGGGGCATAATTATGTAAAAAAGCAAATCAGAGTTATGGGACTTGTGCCAATCTTCTTAGATAATCACAGAGAACAAGTGTGTGAAGTTTCTGCGAATAGTCGAGCTAAAAATGAAAACTTTCATAAAATTTACTTAATTTTTGCATAATCTTAAAATACCAGTGTGATAACAGAAACATTAAAAGCAAAAACATTTATGGTTTACATTCTCGTTTTGGGTTATTGGCCCTCCTATAACCTGCTTAAACGGAAATTAATTTGCCTAAGACACCAGTATGGGACATAATTCATAATTGTTTTGTCCCAGCATCGGTATAGTTATTCGTGCAGTCTGCCAAGACAGGTATACATTGTATACTGTTTGTAAATCCCTTAAAATTAAAATGGACTGTTCTTTATTTTAAGCCCACATATTTATTAAACAAGATATGTTTGTAAAACATGTATGCCCCCTATCAGCAGCCAATTAGTCATGTGACAAGGTTATTATGCATGACTTCTGACCCAGTGATCAAACAATTAATAAGGGTAATCAAGTATCTACTGGTCATGACCTTGACCTTTGACCCCTTGACCCAAAACTCAATAGGGGTCATCTGCTGGTCACGATCAAACATCATACAAAGTTTGAAGTTCCTAGGCCTAAGCGTTTTAGTTAATTGATCAGAAACTGTTTTTACCTACAAGGTCAATGTGACCTTGACCTTTGACCCCTTGACCCCAAAATCAATAAGGATCATCTGCTGGTCATGACCAATCACCATGCCAAGTTTGAAGTTCCTAGGCCTAAGGGTTCTTTTATTATTGATCGGAAACTGTTTTAACATACAAGGTCAATTTGACCTTGACCTTTGACCCCAAAATCAATAGGGGTCATCTGCTGGTCATGACCAATCACCATGCCAAGTTTGAAGTTCCTAGGCTGAAGCGTTCTTTAGTTATTGATCAGAAACCGTTTTTACTTACAAGGTCAATGTGACCTTGACCTTTGACCCCTTGGTCCCAAAATCAATAGGGGTAATCTGCTGGTCATGACAAATCACCATACCAAGTTTGAAGTTCCTAGGCCTAAGCATTCTTAAGTTATTGATCAGAAACCGTTTTTACTTACAAGGTCAATGTGACCTTGACCTTTGACCCCTTGACCCAAAACTCAATAGGGGTCATCTGCTGGTCACGACCAATCATCATACAAAATTTGAAGTTCCTAGGCCTAAGCATTTTTAGTTAATTGATCGGAAACCGTTTTTACCTACAAGGTCAATGTGACCTTGACCTTTGACCCCTTGACCCCAAAATCAATAGGTCATCTGCTGGTCATGACCAATCACCATACTAAGTTTGAAGTTCCTAGGCCTAAGGGTTCTTAAGTTATTGATCGGAAAGCATTTTTACCTACAAGGTCAATGTGACCTTGCCCTTTGACCCCTTAACCCCAAAATCAATAGGGGTCATCTGCTGGTCATGATCAATCACCATACCAAGTTTGAAGTTCCTAGGCCTAAGGGTTCTTAAGTTATTGATCGGAAACCGTTTTTACCTACGAGGTCAATGTGACCTTGACCTTTGACCCCTTGACCCCAAAATCAATAGGGGTCATCTACTGATCATGACCAATCACAATATCAAGTTTGAAGTTCCTAGGCCTAAGGGTTCTTTCGTTATTGATCGGAAACCATTTTTACCTACAAGGTCAATGTGACCTTGACCTTTGACCCCTTAACCCCAAAATCAATAGGGGTCATCTGCTGGTCATAACCAATCACCATACCAAGTTTGAAGTTCCTAGGCCTAAGGGTTCTTTTGTTATTGATCGGAAACTGTTTTTACCCAAGAGGTCAATGTGACCTTGACCTTTGACCCCTTGACCCCAAAATCAATAGGGGTCATCTACTGATCATGACCAATCACCATACCAAGTTTGAAGTTCCTAGGCCTTAAGGTTCTTTAGTTATTGATCGGAAACCGTTTTTGCTTACAAGGTCAATGTGACCTTGACCTTTGACCCCTTGACCCCAAAATCAATAGGGGTCATCTACTGGTCATGACCAATCACCATACCAAGTTTGAAGTTCCTAGGCCTAAGGGTTCTTTAGTTATCACTCGGAAACCATTTGGTCTACGGACCGACGGACCGACAGACCGACGGACCGACAAGTGCAAAGCAATATACCCCCTTTTCTTCGAAATGGGGGCATAATTAAATGTGATCAAACGTTAATTTATCTCGATAGCATTTGTTTCTACGTTTAACCTTTTTACTGTGCAGGAAGCGTTAACAAGTTGACTGTGCCAACAGTACTGTATAGGGGCGGACTTATTGGTTGCAAGTTCAACAACCGTGCATTACTTAACCAGGAGAAGCAGCTAGTTCTTTGGAGTGTTATTAATTAATTAAGCATCAAAATGGCGGTTTAGGACTCGATTGTTTCAAAGTCTCATTCAAAATACTTGTTACTGCTTTTATTTTGGATAACAGGAATCAAACTAGCGACCGCTGATTTGTAGTCTTACTATCAGACCAATGCTGTAAATGTTTGAATTACAAGCTTCAATCCGACAATTTTTCTTACCTCCTACATATACGACCATGTATCGAGTCCCTTTGGTAAAAGGTGAAATCGTCGGTGTTTTTGTTTCGGATCCTCCATGAATTTTGTCGACCGGCAGCAGATACATACAGAACAGGGACGCAGCCTCTGGTTCAAGGGCGATAATTAGACTTTCTTTGGCGATTCCCGCCTAAATTGATACAGAACAGCTTGTCGTTATTTTATTGATTCATAATTGTTACTTGGCTAATTGTTCTTTTTTTGTATAAGTAACTAAATAAACGTAATAATTCCGTCTCAGAATGTTATGCATTCAGATTTCTTAATACAATTTTGGAACAATTATGCCCAAAGATGAGTGAATAAAATCTTAGGACAATAAATGTGGAAATGTATATTCAAGGGCATACGACAATTTACATGCTAATGTAAACCATACTATAGAAAATGTATGAAATAAACCGAGTAGTAGATCTGCGGAACGGTATTCCAAAGGATTATGGTTCAAGACCTATTCAAGTCGCACATTGTCTCAGCCAGAGTCATTGCAAAAGGTTGTCTGTAACCTTCAGATGCTCAGTGCTGGCTGTGCCCGTAAGGATTTAAATCAAATTTTAATATCGTTCTATAGTATGTCATAGTAGAGTACTGTTCTCACATAAGAATAATCCGACAGCGCCAGGTTCATTTTGCACACTTTTTTCATTCTGTTACACACATTTCAGGTACCAGTATGTTGATTGTTAGTGCCTTATACATACTTGAATCATTATATTTCTTAGGTTAACATTATACATGTACTCCCATGGATGTGTCATATGGTTATATAATTGCACCAGCTGAGACATGACAAATTTCTAATAGTATATATGATAATACACTTACATACAAAAGAAGACTAACCTTTTCTGCAGCCTCCCTCATAAACTGTTTGGCTCCGTCATTCGATATAGCAGGGACAGTCAGAACCCAGCGAATGTCATCTGTTACTAAACCGTCCATTCTGTTCAAACTTGAGTGATAAGTATATGTTAAAGGAATTTTTTAGCTATATACCTACGGTAAAATATAATTTGACTGGCTTTAAGGTTGAACAAATAAAATGAATGTAAATATTAGCTTTTTCCTAGTATAATTTTACTAGTTTTACTCATGTGCGCACATGGACCCGTTCATCGTCATTTATGGCTCGGAAATGAATATGACTTTTCTTTAGAGGAAAAGGCACACATGTCCTTAATCAAACAGAAATTGATTATGAACAATTAAGATACTTATCTTGAAGAGATAGTAGCTGTGGATGAACTCATAATAGTAGCAAAACGTAAACAAAATGGTAAAATGTCTTCCATACAAAATACTAAGCCCCTGTAAATTGACTGAACAAAGGGCCATCCGAGGTCCAGTGGTTAAGGCTGTTGACTTTAAACCACTTGCCTCTCAATATTTTAGGTTCTTATTACGCCAGGACTTTAACCTCATGTGAGGGAGCATCCAGTAAGCTTATGGAACATCGTTGGTTCTACTCCACTCTCCAGTCGTGCCTGAAATAATGCACGGAGGGGCACCCGAGTTATTCAACCAGTCCAGTCGCAAATGACCTTTCCGGTGTTGGTGTGACGTGAATCGCATTCAATATCAAACTAATGACCAAGAAGCAAAATTGGTCCAGCTTTATGTTAAATGAATACCGTTTTGGGAATTGTAAAAGAAAACCATTTATAAAAAGCTTTGGAAATAACATTTCATTACGCTGCCTTTGACAAGGGGGTTAATCCATGCGCACGCATCCTTAAAGTTCTGATACCGCGAACACTTCATCGGCCGGTATTTCGAAGAAAAACGAGTGGTGTGAAGAAATCAGAAAAGGTATGAATTTAATTTGTTTTGCAAAGAAGATGTCCTAACTTCTAGTTTTTATATACAAAATGTCTTGAAGTAACTCTTTCCTGTTTTGTCAGTATTTCGCGTTGAATGCGATTTTGATTCTGGATAGTGCGTACACCCGGCGTTGAAATGTTACAGAAAATGAGCAAATATCGATTAAACTGGCCGTTTTAAACGGCTGGAAGTTATTCTGTTGTAGAATCCTTTTCAAAAATATATTTTCAACCTTCGTTCCAATTCATTTGTATTAAAAAAAGTATTTAAACGCACTATTTAAAGAAAACAGAGATTATGATTATGCGTACACTCTAAAAAAAATCCAGATACTGCGTACACATAACCACGGATTTATATTACAGGGATCGGACACTCCCAGTTAACCCTATATATATGCTTAAATATCTTGTCGTGCACCCGATAAAGGTACATCGATCGATAATTTACCGGCGCGAAGCGTAAATGCCCGTTCGCAACGGATACCTACTTTACAAAATACCATATAGCTTTTTCATTTATTATCCGATTTTGGAAATTTAAAGTTTATTTTGAAAAAAAATACTTGGTTAATTCAAATATCTTATTTATTTTTAAAGGTACAGTTTATCTGTCCGCAACGACGGTTAAAAAATTAACTTGACGAAATCCGCGGTAAATTTACATTTTTTTATATAAAAAGCAGGTATTTGAAATTTATTATTACGGTACCATAATACTTTCAGTTTCAAAACAAAAAAGAAGCCGATGTAAGTTATTCACAGATGATCAAAGATGCATTATTCAAGATTTGTTGGGTTATGTAGTCAAATTTATTAACGCACAATTGTTTTACGGGTAATGTATTGCGGCCTTTACACGTGAAGAAAATTTATTCATTTTTTAGTACAAAATATTGCCGAGATTGTCAATATTGCCATATTCATAGAATATTTAAATTTCATTCATCATTTATATCATTATTATTTTTTGTAAATCTGTTTTCAAATGACGGTGCAGTGAAGTAGACAATCATCGTAACAGTAAAGTTCTCTTGTGTGGCTGTCTCGATTCCGGCCTTTTTAATGTCACTCGTATATTTTAATCCGTGACATAACTAAGCATTTGATAGAAAGTACATTTTATTCGAAGCAGTCAAAGGCTTACAAAATGATAAAGCGGATTGCATGGGTGTTCTATTTGAAGAATTGTTTAAAATCTACATCCTAGAAAATGTTTAGAATTAACATTTAGGCGTCATCTTGCCGATGTCGTGCCTCATGCTGTCTGAGAAATTTAAAGATTCACTGGCAAAGAATTCACCACAAAATCGACACACATTCATTTTCTGAAATAAGATATAAATTTGACTGTAAGAAGTAATTTATTTTGAAATGTAGAGTATAAAACATTATCAAGATAGACAATTATTCACCAGGTTTTAAATAAATACCTAAACAAATTGCATAAATATAAATAATTCTTCAAATGGGACACCCATGCAATCCGCTTTATCATTTTATAAACCTTAGACTGCTTCGAATAAAATGTACTTTCTATCAAATGCTTAGTTATGTGTACGCAGTATCTGGATTTTTTAGAGTGTACGCAATATCATAATATTTTTTTTCTTTAAATAGTGCCTTTAAATACTTTTAAAGAACAAATGAATTGGAACGAAGGTTGAAAATATATTTTTGAAAAGGATGCTACAACAGAATAACTTCCAGCCGTTTAAAACGGCCAGTTTAATCGATATTTGCTCATTTTCTGTAACATTTCAACGCTGGGTGTACGCACTATCCAGAATCAAAATCGCATTCAACGCGAAATACTGACAAAACAGGAAAGAGTTACTTCAAGACATTTTGTATATAACAAGAGCTGTCTGTAGGACAGCACGCTCGTCTATTCTAAGTGCTTGATAGTAAAAGAGCCTTTATATTGTTTAATTTTTTAAGTTCACAAAAAGGCTAATTTTTTTTTATAAATTCATGTTATAGGCCTAAGAGAGAGTCTAATTATACAGTATTGGCTTGACTATTTGGAAGGTAATGTCACAAGGGTGTTTTATTGAGTATAATAATACTAATTACCTATGAATAAATAAATTTGACAGAAAAGGTACAAAGGCTTGTTATTAAGATGTTTTATCAAGTAAAATCACTGCTTTTATTATTATGAATGCATAAAATTTTCCCGAAAAAGGCACAAACCCTTCAGTAGTTATTGAGATAACAACTTACAAGAAAACTTAACCATGAATTTCTAAGTTGAAAAAGGGGAGAAAAATCAGCCTAAATGCAAGATAGAATTATGGATCTTTGTCAGTGACCTACAATTATGACCCTAAATGCACATGTGAAGTTTTTAATGAATATCTTTAATAGTTATTGAGATATGTAAAAAACTTGCATGTAAACATTAACCAAGAGGACTAAGTAGAAAAGGGGATATGAATCAGCCTTAATGCAAGATAGAGTTATGGAACTTGGTCAGTGACATACAATTATGACCCTCCAATTATGACCCTAAGTGCATGTGTAAAGTTTCAAGTAAATATCTTTGAAGACCTTTAATCTTTAACCAAAATTTCTAAGTTTCAAAGGGGCGAATAATTCTGCAAATATTGCAGGCAGAGTTATGCAATTTTGCAAACTGATGTACATTGTTACTATAAAAAAGTATTTTAAATTTCAATTGAATATCTCAAGCAATAATTGAGATATTTGACTTTACAAAAAAACTTTAACCAAAATTTCTAAGTTCCAAAGGGGCATACTTCTGTTAATATTGTAGGCAGAGTTATCCAACTTGTCAATCTGATGGGCCTTGTTACTATAAATAAGTATTGTAAGTTTCAATTAAATATCTCAAGCAATAATTGAGATATTTGACTTTACAAAAAACTTTAACCAAAATTTCTAAGTTAAAAAGGGGCATAATTCTGTCAATATTGTAGGCAGAGTTATCTAACTTGTCAATCTGATGTACCTTGTTACTATAAATAAGTATTGTAAGTTTCAATTGAATATCTCAAGCATTGATTGAGATATTTGACTTTACAAAAAACTTTAACCAAAATTTCTAAGTTAAAAAGGGGCATACATCTGTCAATATTGTAGGCAGAGTTATCCAACTTGTCAATCTGATGGGCCTTGTTACTATAAATAAGTATTATAAGTTTCAATTGAATATCTCAAGTAATAATTGAGATATTTGACTTTACAAAAAACTTTAACCAACGCAGACGCCGACGCGGACGCTGACGCCAACGCCGGGGCGACTACAATAGCTCTCATATTCTTCGAATAGTCGAGCTAAAAACTAGAAGTTAGGACATCTTCTTTGCAAAACAAATTAAATTCATACCTTTTCTGATTTCTTCACAACACTCGTTTTTCTTCGAAATACCGGCCGATGAAGTGTTAGCAATATCAGAACTTTAAGGATGCGCGCGCATGGATTAACCCCCTTGTTGATGCTTGTTTAAAAGTCTCAATCATTTTATAGGATATAATTATCCAATTAATATATCACCACATAGTCTCATACCGATGGAAGGTCAAATATCATCCACACCGGTTTACATGTACAGTTTGTATAATTATCATCATTGTCATCATTCATTGATATTAGTTTTGTGATTGTAGTCAAAATTCACAGCATCATCTTCATTGATATCATTGTAATAATTGTCATATTCTTTGTGATTGTATTCAAAATTCACAGCATCATCTTCATTGATATCATTGTAATAATTGTCATATTCTTCGTGATTGTATTCAAAATTCACAGCATCATCATGATCACATTGTAGTAATTGTCATATTATTCGTGATCGTTGTCAAAATTCTTATCATCATCCTTATTATCATAATCATCATCATCATCACCAACCGCATTTATCTAAAATAAATATTACCTTTTATTAAGTGTTTCCTCTAAGTGTTTTCTGAGATATTCGATTGATATACTAAACACTTGAAGGGCAGACATCAGACGTCCTTTGTCGTCTCCGATCATAACGTCTCTTGTTAAATGATCACCCTATAAAGTGACAAATAATTCATGGCATATTTTATGATTTATTGCAAGAATTATTATAACAAACGAGCCCAATTTGAGTGTTGCCCATTTTTGTCTTACTGTTACAGGACAAGTATTATAACTTATTCAACAAAATAATGCACATAATATTACTTTCTTCCCCATCGACAATCTATAAATATCTAAATTAGTACCAGAAAACTGAACCTCTAGAAATTGTCTAATTATAATGCCACAAATAACAAATGGCTGCCGGGCGGGGTCTGTTTCTGAAAAAAAAATCAAAATCTCGGCCCGCGTTCGTCCAGCGGCAGTGACAATCGGACAGCAGCTGAAAATTTTGCAAATCGAGCGGGCTCCGTCCAGTTTTAAGTAGAACTTAACGCTAACGGCCTCCAGACGATAATTGTTGAGGGCAGTGAGTGAAAGGACACCGGGCGGTACCCGGGCGATTTTATTTTTGATCGGGCGATTATTTTTGATACTAAAAAAGCACCGTCCGATTTAAAAGGTACCCTGGCGGACATCGCCCTGGCACCGGCCGGCGCGCAAATATATACATCATTTGGTGAGCGTTATTAACCTGATACCCGTACAATTTATGTACAGGCACAAGGCAGTCCTCGTTTTGCAATGCGGCGACCGGGTGGCTTGAGTTTGTTGTTTTTGCCTCAAAAATGTATTTGTGAATTCCTTTGGATTTAACATCGTGCAAGAACATCTACACGTATTTTTCTTAAAGGCATATACAATTGTTGCAGCATATGACGAGGGTCGGCACAGAGATGACCGTAGGAGGATTATCTATGCCTCTAGTAATTGCTTTCTTTGCTGACATATTGGCAACTGGCTGATTTATAAAATAATATCATAAAATGTTTAGAATTTACTGCGACCGTCCGATCCATTTATGAATCGCAAAGGAGCCGTCCGGACATCGGGCGACATCCGCCCTAACATTGGAAGGCGACCGTTTCATTCGTGACCACGCAAGATATAAGATTTTAAATCGTCAGGCATCCGCGAGATCATCAAAATCGCTGATGCTGTAAAAATGGTTAAATCGGACTGCGCCTGCTTTATTTGTGACCCTTTTACGCATAAGACTCGGCACGTTTTATAACTTTAAGCTTTTACTTTAGACCTTACACCGCTTGATCTAAATTTTGGATTAAAGATATAGCCCAACTGCTAAAGACCTTTTAGACAAAGTACTTAAGTTTGAAATGAAGATCAAAATTATTTTTATGTATGTTATTTTGCAGAAAATAGTTAACTAATCTATAGCCATGATCCCGCTAGGTTTCTAGATAATCGATCCTTTTATGTTATATATATTTCAAAATGACGGATGTGACGTGAACAATAAATTACGCTACTTAAACCATAAAAAACAAAGAATTTACCTCTTATTATGTCAACAATAGACAGATCATGAAAAAAATCATGCCTCAACAGAAATCTTCGAAATTCTTTAAAAGATTTAAACATTTAAGAAAAAAAACGCCTTCTTATTACCTATGCCAAGAAGAGGAGGTAATAGCTATAGGTGAGCATGAGGGTATTGATAACAATACCCTGTAGGCAGTCAAAAGGTGTGACTTTAAGGGAATGACTAGTTCATCAACAAATGTTTGATATTAAGGAAACAAGAGCTGTCGGTAGGACAGCAACGCTCGACTATTCTTAGTGCTTGATAGTAAAAAAAATGCCTGATACAGTTACCTCCTCCTGTTTACAGGTTGGGGTAATGATGGTGAACAAGTGTGCAAAGTTTCAAAGCCATATGTCAATGGACTTTGAAAATATTTGAACTATTACAAAAACTTTAACGTAAATTCTAAGTCGAAAAAGGGGCATAATTCTGTCAAAATGCTTGATAGAGTTACCTCCTACCGTTTACAGATTGGGGTCATGATGTTGAACAAGTGTGCAAAGTTTCAAAGCCATATGTCAATGGACTTTGAAAATATTTGAACTATTACAAAAACTTTAACGTAAATTCTAAGTCGAAAAAGGGGCATAATTCTGTCAAAATGCTTGATACAGTTACCTCCTCCTGTCTACAGGTTGGGGTCATGATGGTGAACAAGTGTGCAAAGTTTCAAAGCCATATGTCAATGGACTTTGAAAATATTTGAACTATTACAAAAACTTTAACATAAATTCTAAGTGGAAAAAGGGGCATAATTCTGTCAAAATGCTTGATAGAGTTACCTCCTCCTGTCTACAGGTTGGGGTCATGATGGTGAACAAGTGTGCAAAGTTTCAAAGCCATATGTCAATGGACTTTGAAAATATTTGAACTATTACAAAAACTTTAACATAAATTCTAAGTCGAAAAAGGGGCATAATTCTGTCAAAATGCTTGATAGAGTTACCTCCTCCTGTCTACAGGTTGGGGTCATGATGGTGAACAAGTGTGCAAAGTTTCAAAGCCATATGTCAATGGACTTTGAAAATATTTGAACTATTACAAAAACTTTAACATAAGTGGTTACGCCGACGCCGACGCTCGGGTGACTGCAATAGCTCTACTTATTCTTATCGAATAGTCGAGCTAAAAAGTAAACAAAATCATCTTACTGGTCATTAAAGCTTCTTATTAAATTTTGCAATATCTAAAGTAAGGGTTCTGGGTTACAACTCATGTAAACGGTAAAAGAATGATTAATTTTCTGTATTGACGGAAGACATTCAAGAAGACGTATGTAAAGCTTAGCGGCAGCTTTTTAGCTCACCTGATCTGGCTCAGGGTGGCCTTTTACGATCGTTGAATGTCCATCGTCCGTCCACGTTTAGTTGGTTAACACTCTAGTGGTCATATTTTTGCCTCATTTGTCGTCTACCTTGGTAAGGATTTTTGTCTAACTAATTGCATGGACGCGTTTGGACAATGGCCAATGGCCATTTTGGATTAAAAACTAGGTAACAGAGGCTTTAAATAGAAAAACTTTGTTAACTCCAGTGGCTTTTGTTTTCCTCCAAATATCCTGGAAATTAGTCAGAAAGGTTGTTTTGGTGATTTGTAGGTTCACCAAGTTCGAATATTGGTCACCTGGGGTCAAAAACTAGGTCACACAGCCAAAATATCACTCGAGGTGCAACTGTTTTGAACCAAATATCCTGGAAATTGGTCAGAGAAATGGTTTCATGTTTTCTAGGTCACATTTGAATATGGGTTACCCGGGGTCAAAAAAATCTAAGTCAAACAGTCTTATATAGAAAACCTTGTTAACACTTTAGAGGCTTCTTTTTTATGGTGATATCCTGGAAATTTGTAAGAAAGATTACTTTTGTCAAGTGCAAAGAATGATGTGTTGCAATCTTTCTTCTTACTAAAATATCTGTGTTTCAACACCCAACCAATATAACAAAACAGACTCAAACCATGAATAAACCAAGACCCTACGTGAGCCTACTCACCTTGTATAGAAGCATTTTGAATCGCCGGTAGTAGTAATAATCATTTTGGCCTTCCTCTGCTACTATTTCAGAATATCGTTCTTCAGCCTCGTAACCAAAGGCAACGAAATGTTTCTTATTGTCAAGAAGAAGAATGGTAGGTGTTTTCAACGAAATGCGTGTGAAAGAGCCTGTCTTCCAAACCTGATTTATTGTTACTTTCGTCGGGTCTATTTCATAGTCATGATTAAAGGAAAAAGCGTATCCAGAAAATGTTGTCCCAAAGTTGATAGCCGCCACAAGAACTTTTCCACTTTTACTCTTCTTTTCTCGTCCATTTCTTCCTTTCGTTGCCATGCCTCCATAGCCTCCTTCCGTTCCCATGATTTTACAGCTGTTAAGTGTTTACCACTTATCTAATGAGCTAAACAGGAATATAATAAATAATAACAAAAATAGACGTAATTCAAAATGCATTTTCTGTACTAATCATATCAGAAATTAAGAACTTAGATTAAAGAGAGAGTTTCAACAAATGCATACCGCTAAGTCATTTTACGTAAGACGAAAACGAAAGTAGGCGATAAATAAATGTCCATATAAGTAACACAAAAATTCTACACTATATAAATGTCCATATAAGTAACACAAAAATTCTACACTAACAACCTGTACAAGTGTGGCAGGACTGGTCTATACGGTTTAGCATACAAATAACACTCTGCTTCAATCAAATATTTATTCACGGTTTTGTACATCAAATTGACATTCTATAGGATCTCTTATATTTATGGTTCTGAAAATATATAAAAATACATATATGAACAGAAAATATATATTATCAATTCAGTTCATCATATTATTAATTATTACATATATTATTATTATTTACATAAAACATATGCAGCTCAGTGGTCCCTTTAATCATAATTAAACCATATTCATTTATCAAAAATATAACTTCTGTTATCAAAAATATAAATTACATAACTTACACACGTCCCTATCATACATAACTAAACAAATTACACAGGTTACTCACCAAACTTAAGGAGTCTGTAAACCTTTATATTTATCTTCCTTTCACACATATCTTTCTTCTCCAATACTAAAACCACGGATTTATATTACTAAATATAAATCCGTGCTAAAACTGATGCTGTTAAACAGGAACAAATTAGATATTAAGTATTATGCATTTAAAGATTTGAGATCCGAAACTAGTTGTATTAGTTAAATTAGAAGAAGAATAAGAAGTTCGGTCATTGAAAATGCCATCTCAAAATGTCAAACATTTACAAGGTATAAATCTAAATAAAAAGCCAAAATAAGTGAACAATAAAATACAGGAATGATTTAGCAATACAGCATAATATATTTTATTGAAGAAATTATCCTTTACTTAAACATTTAACTACATTTAAAGATAAATATCTAACCCACGCCAAAAAGACCGCCTTTTCCTCACGCTGACCAAATTCCCGCTCTACCTCCAAGTAGAAGAGTATTCAGCATTAATAAAAATTAGCGCAAAGATACGAAAACATCAGAAAGTGATAAATAACAAAAAGATGTATTTCGGACCCTACTACACACTTCCCCTGTCTGTGAAATGACGTCCCGTCATTTACTTCCTTAAAGCTTAAGTAAAAATACAAAGACAAAAAATATCCTGTACAAGAGAAAACATATTTGTTCAAAGCCGCTATTCACAAAGTCTGTATGACAGATAATGTTCTCTTCAGTTCTTATCATAAAATACAACAATATCATAAGGACAATTTAAACTGCATGTTTGAAAAGACAAAAATATATATAAAATATTACATTCACCTTCCCTGCTAGCAAAAATTGTGTCCCACAATTTCAGTACTTGATAAACAAAATTACTTGATTATGAATCTCAAGAAAATACAAAAAATGAACAAAAATGAAATAATATACAAAAATATGAATGATACATATGAATGAAAATTCAATTTCACCAAAATGTATTTAAAAATAGGTTCAAAAATGCTGTACTGATAAACATGTTTAAAAAAATATCTATCTTCTCTTAGCATTTGAATCAAGTTTCAAAGAAAGAAACAAAAAATAAGCATTCTTACATTAATACTTATTGTCACATGATAAAATTTAAAGTAATGTACAATATTCATAAATGACCTATTACTGCATTATAGACTGTATAATTTTATGTGTTAAATCAGGTGGTAGTTTGTCGAACAATCCTGAAGACACTAAGTTGTTTATAATAGAAACCTTTGCTTCTGCAAAACTATCTGTCTGTTGATAAAGATGATATTCCTTAGTCCATTCAGGTTTCTTTCTTGATCTTGATGATCGTCTCGACATTGGTTCACTCTCTTCTGAAACATCAGTATTGTTTTCTGGTACAATTCTGTCTTCTAAAGTTGAAGTTTCATTGACAGTATCTTCGACAAAAGGTTCTATACTAATCTCGTCTGTATGTTTTAACTCTGGGTCAATCTCTTCTGAAACATCAGTTCTGTTTTCTATTGTATCCCTTGCTTCTTCTATAGGTGAAGTTTCTTTCACAGTTTCTCTGACAATAGGTTCTGTATTAACGTCATCTGCATAGGTAGTTTCTTCATTGATTATATCTTCCTTATCTTTCTCCTTATCATCAACCATAGGATTAGGCTTAAGGGCGTCCCCTTTATTGTACGTTAGTGATACATACTCTTCTGAATCCGTGACGTCACTTTCACTTCTATGTATATTCTTTCTTTGCTTTCTATACTCTTTTTTTCCTAGTACAACCGGCCGATTTTTAATGCATATCACCTCCATCGTGAAATGAAGTCTTCTTTTCCAATACTTTTGTAGAAACCAATTTCTTATCACTTTTCCTTTTTTCATTAACTTCCTCTTTAGAACTGTTGTAAACATTCCCTACTGGAAGTAAATGATTTCTATGTAATTTCCTAACTATTCCAGATGTTGATCTCACTTCATAAACAGGGATATCCATGTTTGGATGTTCAATAACTTGATATGTCTCAGAGTCAAACTTATCCGCTATTTTGTGTCTTCCATCAAATGCCAAAGTTTTAACTAATACAATATCACCAACTTCCAACTTCGAAGCTTTTGCTTTTCTGTCGTAGAATTCTTTCTGTCGGGTCTTTGCCTGTTCAGAAAATTTGTTGACAATATCTTGTGTTTCTTTCAATCTATGCTTAAGTTCCTGAAGATATTCTTTTGTTGATCTATTGTTGGTTTCTATTTCAGTGTCAAATAAAGAATCAATTGGCAATTTAGGTGCTCGACCAAACATCAGCTCGAACGGCGATATTTTCGTAGTTTCATGAATGGTGCAATTATAGGCATAAACGAGGGATGGTATATACTTTTTCCAATCTTTTTTCTGTTCTGGTTCCAAAGTTCCAAGCATATTGAGCAATGTTCGGTTATATCGTTCAGAAGAACCATTTCCCATAGCATGGTATGGTGTAGTCCGAGATTTCTTGATTCCCATGATTTTACACAATTCCTGAATGATTTCCGATTCGAAATTGGCACCCTGATCCGAATGTACTCTTGTTGGTATCCCATAATGGACTATGAAGTTGTTGTATATTGCCTCAGCTGTTGTTTTTGCTGTTTGATTTTTGCATGGAATGGCTAATGCATACTTTGTAAAATGATCGGTGATGACAAGAATATTTTCAATTCCTCCTTTTGATGGTTCTAATGATAGAAAATCTGTTGTCACAAGTTCTAATGGATATGTTGAAATAATGTTTACTAATGGTGCTTTGATGTTTACTGATGATTTTCTTTTTATACATCTGTCACATTGATTTATCCATTTTTCTACGTCTGATGATATGTTTGGCCAATAAAATCTTGATCTAAGTAGAGATGTAGTTCTGTCACGTCCTGGGTGTCCAACATCATTATGAAGTCCACGTAATACTTGTTCTTTATATATCTCTGGCAAAATAAGTTGTTTAATTTCTTTCTCACCATCTTGAATAACTCTATATAGAATTCCCCTGATAATTCTCAATTGTTTAAAATGTCTTTTCATGATATGGTCCTCTTTTTTATATACAAACTTCTTGTCTGGTAATTGTTTGTCTAATATCGATCTATACCAAGTTCCTAAAATCTTGTCTTCTCGTTGTGCTTTCCTTATCTCTCTTGTTTCAATCTGTGCAAAAGGTTCTCCTTGACATTCAGTTACATCTACAATATTGATTGAGCAGGATGGAATAACCTCTATGAGTGACTGTGTCTGTGTTGAACATATAGCCTTAATGGTGCTATCTTCTAAAATGATTTGTCTGTCGTCGTCAGTTGTTATATTTCCATGTGGATATCTCGACATCCCGTCTGCATCTGCATTTTTAAGACCACTTCTATAAATCAAATCAAAGTTGTACGCTCCTAGTGCTGAAGCCCACCTTTGCCCGGTGGCATCAAGTTTCGCTGATGATAAGACATATGTTAATGGGTTGTTGTCGGTGTAAACTGTAAACTTGTTGTTGAGAAGATAATCTGAGAATTTTTCAGTTATAGCCCACTTCAAAGCAAGGAATTCCAATTTGAAAGCTGAATAGTTCTTCTCGGATCTGGAGAGGCTTCTACTTGCAAACGCTATTACTCTTTTCTTGTCGTCCTGTAGCTGATAAATGATAGCTCCAAGCCCGTACGTACTCGCATCGGTGTGTACTTCAAAAGGTTTTGAAAAGTCAGGGTATGCTAATACAGGAGGGTTTGTCAATTTGTTTTTAATGTCTTCAAAAGTCTTTTGTTGTTCTTCTCCCCAAATCCATGGCTTCTGTTCTTTATGTTTCAGTTTCTTCCTAGTTGAAGTTGGTGGTAATAAATCTGATAATGGTCTTGTTAATCTGGAAAATCCTTTGAAAAATCTTCTATAATATCCAGCAAATGAGAGGAAAGATCTCAATTCATCTGCGTTGTTTGGTGTAGGCCAATCTCTGACTTTGTTGATTTTGTCTGGGTCTGTTTCTATTCCCTCTTCGGTGACAACATGTCCTAAGAATTTTACTCGTTTCTTTAAGAAGTAACACTTGTCTGCAGATAGTTTCAAGTTGCATTCATGAAGTCTTTGAAGAACCAAATCTAATCTTTCAAGGTGTTGTTCAAAACTGTTGGAAAATATGATTAAATCATCTAGGTAAATGATACAGATTTTTAAGTTATAGTCGCCCAAACATTCCTCCATTAAACGTTGGTAGGTGGCTGGTGAATTACTAAGTCCAAAAGGCATACGGATCCAGTCAAAAAATCCAATGGCTCCGACTGTAAATGCTGTTCTTTCCTTGTGTTCTTCCTCAATTTCAACCTGGTGGTATCCTGACTTCATGTCTATAGTGCTGAACCATGATGCTCCATTAAGAACGTCAAAAATTTCTTCAATTCTTGGAAGTGCATATGCATCTTTCACCGATTTATTGTTAAGCATTCTATAGTCGACACATAATCTCAGCTTTCCGTTCTTCTTTCTAACAAGTACAACGTTTGAAGCGTAAGGTGACTTTGATTTTCTAATAAGTCCACATGCTAATAACTGTTCAATGTGTTGCCGTACTTCATCTACCATTCCTGGCGGTATTCGCCTGTGTCTCTGTTTAAATGGTCTTTCATCAATCAGATCTATTCTATGTTTCACTTTGTCACAATATCCTATGTCGGCATCATTCTTTGAGAAAATGTCTTTATGTTTTTCTAGTAATTCTCTAACTTTTATATCTTGTTGTGGAGTTAATGATGATTCTATTGTAACATCTTTGAATATGTTTTTT